TTTTGAAATGTTAGGGCTTTTTTGCGTGTCTTGGCAAATTATCTTGCATTGATAATTTTGAATTTTTTGTTGGACGGCATTATTTGGAGAGTTAGGATTTGGGCTTGTGTAAAGTTAAGAGAAGTGAAACTACAGGTATGCCGCAGAGTTCGAGGCACAAATCACATAAACATAGCAAACACAGTTCGAAGGAGGCTAAGGATAAGGATAGTTCGGATTCTGAAGAAGATGTGAAGATGAAGGAAAAAAGTAGCAAAGGTGATTCGATGAGGGCTTATCGGGATTCTGCCAGTGGTGAGAAGCATAAAATTTCATCGCAGGTCCGAAAAGGCAAGGATTGTAAAGATCTGAGTGGTGATGGGAACGGTGAGGCTTCAGAGGAGTACGTGTCTTCAAAGAGGAGAAAAGAGAAAGCTCACCTCAAAAAGGAGAGGGCTGATGTAACTGGAAGAGTTAGTGGTGATAGGTGGGATGGGGCTGGAGAGGAGAGAGGGCGCAGTGATAGGAATGTGGAGAAGGAAATAAATAAAGGGGGAAGTTCAAAAATTGACATGAAGTTGAAGGAAAGTAATAATAAAGGGGAAAGTTTGAGAGTTGATTCTAAGAGTAAGAGTAAGAGGCATGAGAGTGGAACTGGGGGTGAGAACAAGGAGGAGAATGTGAAATCCTTGGTGGTGGAGAAAGATGAAAGTAAAAGGCAATCAAAGAGGAAATCTGAGAGGATTTCTTTGGAATTGAGGGAAGGGAAGGAACTGAAGGTTAAGGAAAGCGGGTTGGACAAAGACAAAAAAGATGGTCAGGAGAGTAAGCACGGTGATGCTGAGGTGAAGGCTCTGGATGGGAATCTTGAGAACAATCATAACTCACAGTTGGTTGATTTAAGTGGAGATAGACAGCGTAAACGTGGTAGAGAAAATACTGGTAAGGTTATTATTGTGGTATACATAGGGCTGATTTATGGCCTTTGTTTTTGACATGCCTACTCTTGTTTACTGTCATGGTTGATCCAAGTTGTAGCAATATTGTTTAAAGACTTCGTCCTTTTTGTGATATTCTAACATGCCAGTAAAGTTCTGATCGTAGTCTTGCAATTGCGAAATTTAAAAATATTGTACAAAGGTCTTCTTGGATATTTTGAACCAAAAAGCTATGTGAGTTGGTTTAAATTTTTTTGTTCTTATGGCCTCCATTTGGGAAGAATTTATAAATGGTTTAATGTATTAATAGATAGAATTGAGTGTGGATAGCACATGTGGTCCATTGGTGTGCCCCCCCCCCCCCCAACGACATCGTTTAGCCCAATCCGGATAATGAACAGTATGAACTAGATAGGTGTAAAAAGGGGTACTACATGAATTAATAGTGAAACTGGCGTCTCTCTTTTAATGTAGTAGTGATAGTTGTAGTGATAGTGATGGTGGTAGTGATTTGTATTACCACAAAAGAAAACAACATTTTTCAATATCTTTCTAAAAGAAATAGCTTTTTAATATTTAGTCCATGTTTGGTTTAAATTTAAAAAAAAAATTATATTTTTAATAAATTTAATAAAAATTGATGAAATATGTAATTAAAAAGTTGAAAAATTTTATAAATTCCATGAAATATGTAATTGAAAATGAGTATGAGGAAAGAATGATTTTAAAAAATAGGGGTCAAACACAAACTTAATATTGGAAAATAAATTTTTTTTTTTTTTTTAAGATTTAGGGAAAATCCATGGATACATATATTCCAACAAACCACACAATTTGTCCTCTCATTAGAAAATTGGTTCTGTAACTTTTTGTGGTAATTCTATATAGTTTGCAAAATAAAAGGTAAGTATTTTAGTCTACTACATGTTATCAGAATCGACTAGCACTATTTAAATAAAAATATAAAAGGCAGAAATGGAGTAAATTTCGAGGTATGTCAAAATTAATTTCCTTAAAACAAATGTTGACACGATCTATTGGACATGTCTATACTCCTTCAAAAATAGTAGTGCACTACTTTTTGCAAATCAATTACATAAATTTAATATCTACACTGTACTGACTATAATTAATACGGAATAATAAAACATGGCAATTTATATATTGAGATTGATGGGTGGATGGGTATAGTATACTAATTCTTTAATGAAAATTTTTACAAGAATTTGGCTATTGTTCAATTACAAATTTATCATGGAAAAGTCATTGGAATTGAAGAACAATGGGTTATGAACTTATTGTCTAAATTTCACGACGATCGAACCAAATGATGCTGAGATATCAACGTTTTTATCACATTCGTGCAAACTGTCCAAATTCTATGAATTTTCTTCACTTTCAATTTCGACTTTTCTCTTTATTTTTGATGAGATCATTCATGTTGATAGCATGTTTTATTCAATTTCGACTTTTCTCTTTATTTTTGATGAGACCATTCATGTTGATAACATGTTATAAAACTAAAAAAATAAGAGAAGAATAGAATGAATTAATGGACACATATTTATAGAGTTCAAAATGAGAGTCATAATTTGAATAGAATACACTATTTTTAAGTAAATAGGATTTATTTAAGAATCTAATAAGACTAAACCGATATCAATAATTATCTCATAATTTAACAATATTAAAAACAAAAGCTAAACAATTTGTGATTGGCCTTGGTACATTCCATTCATCTCCGCTCCAATATCGACAGTATCAAAAAAATGGTTATATTTACCTCACATTTTAATTACATTAAAGGTAATTACATTTTAAAAATTTATTAATTAGAAAATTGTGTCCTCAATCATTGTTTCCATTCAAAAATGTAGGTAACATGCTTTAAAATGAGGGTCAAATACTTAATCGTATTTTTACAATATTATTTATTTTGCTTATTAAGAAATACAATGAGCAAATGAGTTTTTTTGCTTTATTTTAAAGAAAAATTTGGAAAGAAAACATAATTAGGAACAATTTATATTACCTCGAGAATATGAATACAATGAAAAAAGTTTGAGACACAAATATAATAATGTGTAAAGATTATAAGCATTTTATGCAATTAAAATATAATCTAATTATTAAAATGGTAATTAGCATATAACATCCATACCTTTTATTATTATTGTGCAAAACATCCATATCTTTCTTTTTTTAACATTTTCACCCTTAATTACAATTTGATTGCGCAAACATCCTTTCGTTCATTTCCATCCAACTTCTCTGCTAAGTGTAGTCCCTTTTTTTGAACTCTTTTTGTCTCCATTGTTTTTTCCCTCTGAAAAATAACATTTAATTTCTTTGTATCAATTTGATTCTCATCAGCACCAAAAAGAAGAATCCGAATCACTCTACACGTCGCCATCGTCGCTGTTGGGAAAACTGAATCGAAGCCTATTCAGCCAGTATGCTAGCGACAAATCAAAGTACAGAACTGGATGTACATTGGGTGAAATTCTTCGACTTGGCCATGGCGTCAAATGGTGTTGAAATATTCAAAGTAAATGATCCCAGAGATAATCTCGTAGGTATCAGTCGAACACCACTTCAAGATCATTGTCTGGGACACGTCGATCAAATCATAGAGCCATTATTGAAGGAATTGGAGGTGGAATTGTTGCAGTCCTTCTTGGTTTATTTGTTTGTTTTGTCTCAAGAAGTCGGAAGAATAAAAATGCTTCTAGTACAAGGACTACCATCACCATTGGAAATTCACATTCTTTAGGAGCTACAAAGACCATCACCACTGGAATAACTGCTTCTCCCTAACTTCAAACCTTTGTCGCTATTTCTCAATTGCTGAAATCCAGGCTACCACCAAGACAAAGGGCTTGGAAAAGTGTGGAGAAATTGATGGCGGAACCAAAATGGCAATTAAGCATGGGAACCCAGTCTCAGAACAAGGTGCGTGAATTCCAAACTGAGATTGAAATGCTTTCAAGCTCAATCGCGGATGAGTATTGATTGCCCGACACTTGATGACTCTACGGTGTTGCTTTGGCTGGGGGCTATGCACCTCAGATAGTAAAAGAAAGTTTAGGTTTAGACCTACGGAAATTATGAACGATGGTATCATAAGCACACGTTGCCTCTTCCGTTGCGTCGTTCGTGCCCAACAAAACACGGTTCTTCTTCCTGAGATCACGAATCTCTATAGGGTAATGGCCACGACCTCTTCCTTTTCACCCTTATAGTGTGCTTCGTTAAATTCATTGACAACCTTATTAGCCTTTTCCTTAACTCCATTAATAGCCGTATTAGCTTTCTTCGTCACCGCCATGAAAATTTCTCAAACTACCCTTCTTTGAAACTGAAGAAAGAGTTAAGTGATGAAAATGGGTTACATATTGAGAGAAAACGAGATGGTTTTATACGAGAGAGGAGAGAAAAATTGGATTCAATGGGTTCAAAACAGGGGAAGAAAGAGGAAAAATGTTTTAAGAAGAAATATCTGTTCCTTATAAAAAAAAAAATTTGACCACACTCAATGAAGAAGTTTGATGAAAATGGGTGGAAAGACGTTTTGAACAATCAAATGTATAATTAGAAGAAAAAAGGATTATGTTACATGTACAAATATATTTGTACTGAAAGTTTTACACACTCTCACAATAGAATAATATGAACCACATGATCGAATTTTTTAATGTAAGGGGGATCCTCATAAATGTGAGAGTGAGTAAACCATATTGTCAACCAAATTTTGTGCAAATAGTTTTATCCAAGAAAAAATGTCAAAAAAATAAAAATATGAACGTTTTGCACAATAATAATGAAAAAAAATGATGTTATGTGCTAATTATTCTTGTTAAAAATTGTAGTGTGAATATATTTAGCTCTCGTTTGTTTCTTATTTTTTGAAGAATGGAAATGAAAAATATAGTCGTTACGTGTCCTACATAAGAAATAAAAATTCAAATTTTATGATTTGATGTGATGAATAATGATTATATTTTTCTTTTTAACGATGAGGCTTAGTTTATGGAGGGAACGAAGATTTTATTTAGTTATTTATTTATTTTTATTTCAAGCAACAAAAATCCAACCCCTTCACCTACCTCTCGCCCTCAATTTACTGTTCCTCTTCACTTTTACTTTTCTCTCTCTATATCTATCGATTATATGCACACTCCATATATGCATCTATACTTCTCTATATCTTTATATGACATACAGTGTCGTGGAAATAGATTCTGTGCTTTTTTCTCCAGCGAGCGATCTGATTAGTAAAAGTCGTCGGAGTGTCAACGGTTAATTTTCCGGCACCAATTTTTTTGGATTCCGATTACTGTTTCACTGGAGAAATGTTATTAGTTATTTCGACTGATTTCTATTTGTTTTTGAAGGTTTGTCGTGGAACCGTCCTAATTAGGGTATTGAAATTTTGAAATGTTAGGGCTTTTTTGCGTGTCTTGGCAAATTATCTTGCATTGATAATTTTGAATTTTTTTGTTGGACGGCATTATTTGGAGAGTTAGGATTTGGGCTTGTGTAAAGTTAAGAGAAGTGAAACTACAGGTATGCCGCAGAGTTCGAGGCACAAATCACATAAACATAGCAAACACAGTTCGAAGGAGGCTAAGGATAAGGATAGTTCGGATTCTGAAGAAGATGTGAAGATGAAGGAAAAAAGTAGCAAAGGTGATTCGATGAGGGCTTATCGGGATTCTGCCAGTGGTGAGAAGCATAAAATTTCATCGCAGGTCCGAAAAGGCAAGGATTGTAAAGATCTGAGTGGTGATGGGAACGGTGAGGCTTCAGAGGAGTACGTGTCTTCAAAGAGGAGAAAAGAGAAAGCTCACCTCAAAAAGGAGAGGGCTGATGTAAGTGGAAGAGTTAGTGGTGATAGGTGGGATGGGGCTGGAGAGGAGAGAGGGCGCAGTGATAGGAATGTGGAGAAGGAAATAAATAAAGGGGGAAGTTCAAAAATTGACATGAAGTTGAAGGAAAGTAATAATAAAGGGGAAAGTTTGAGAGTTGATTCTAAGAGTAAGAGTAAGAGGCATGAGAGTGGAACTGGGGGTGAGAACAAGGAGGAGAATGTGAAATCCTTGGTGGTGGAGAAAGATGAAAGTAAAAGGCAATCAAAGAGGAAATCTGAGAGGATTTCTTTGGAATTGAGGGAAGGGAAGGAACTGAAGGTTAAGGAAAGCGGGTTGGACAAAGACAAAAAAGATGGTCAGGAGAGTAAGCACGGTGATGCTGAGGTGAAGGCTCTGGATGGGAATCTTGAGAACAATCATAACTCACAGTTGGTTGATTTAAGTGGAGATAGACAACGTAAACGTGGTAGAGAAAATACTGGTAAGGTTATTATTGTGGTATACATAGGGCTGATTTATGGCCTTTGTTTTTGACATGCCTACTCTTGTTTACTGTCATGGTTGATCCAAGTTGTAGCAATATTGTTTAAAGACTTCGTCCTTTTTGTGATATTCTAACATGCCAGTAAAGTTCTGATCGTAGTCTTGCAATTGCGAAATTTAAAAATATTGTACAAAGGTCTTCTTGGATATTTTGAACCAAAAAGCTATGTGAGTTGGTTTAAATTTTTTTGTTCTTATGGCCTCCATTTGGGAAGAATTTATAAATGGTTTAATGTATTAATAGATAGAATTGAGTGTGGATAGCACATGTGGTCCATTGGAATGTGTGGTTGAAAATGTACTATGACTGAGGAGGCATAATTGCTTTGTGGTCCGTGCTTTCAGAATTATGCCTTCACATCATATTCAAACTTTCAGTTGTAATTTACTATAAATAACTATCTAAAATTGATATTACTTTGTCATGTATCTGTAGGGCCCAGCACTAAAGGCCATTTTGAAAAACCCTAAATCTTCTAAAAAATTTTAATTGTTTCAAACAGAAAACTAAAGTTTGGTGTGCAAGAATATTCAGCCTGATAACTAAGTGAATTTGTTGATGGTGATCTTGTTATTTATTTTTTTTTTTTTACAACCGTGGATGTCCGGGCCAGCTTACGCGCACCTCGATTAATTTCATAGGGCCCTAAAATTTTTAGTCGGGTATTCACCGCAGTGATCTTAAGAAAATTCGAACGGATGATTATTAGGGAGCAAACCCAAGGTCTAACCACTGAACTACCTCTCAAAATTGATGGTGATCTTGTTAATTATTAGACCTTCTCTGGCATANTTTTTTTTTAGTAGAGTAAGAGTGAGAAAGGAAAGAGGAAGAAGAGGAGAGAAGAAAGGGGAGAGAATATAGAAGAAATTGGTGGAGAAAGTATTAATTTATTTCATAATCAAAGTGTACCTTGATAACTTCTGATAAATAATAACAACTCAAAATGATGAAGTTCTAGATAATTGAAACTACTAAAATATCAGTTAATATCTATGTTCAAATCCCATCCCATCTTCAAAATTATATCTTTAACCATATCTTCATTCCCATCAGTAGTCTTTATTTTTATAGAGTGTTTATTGAAAGTGGAATTTTTTTCTTGCTATTTGTATATGTTGCTTGTAATGCTTTGAAAGGCAACAAAATCTGGTTTAGTCATTGCTCACAACGTTAGCAGTGACCCTTTGTATTTGGCTAGATAACTCGGAAAGATTTTGTTTTTATCAGTTTTGCAGAAGTGTAGCCATATATAGGGTATATCAGCAAGATATCCCTTGCCGAAATTTGATTCCTAATGTATGGAAAGGATAGGCTGCTGATGCTCTGTGGTGTTATTTTTGTTTGGTTGCTTGAATGACCTTGGAGTAGCTAGTACTTTCAGTTTATCAATTTTTATTTTCTTTTTGCAGCATGGCATGTGCAAGATGGTTTACGAAATCCCAAATTAGAGAAGGAACTTGAGAAAGGGGTACGAAGGACGAGAGAAGGTTTTACCGATAGAGAAAATGATGACAAGCGATTGTCCACAAGGAATGACTGTAGTAAGGATGTAAAAAACAGAGAAGAAAGGCATCATATGGGTGGAAGTAATGGAGACAGGCATGCGGATGATGGTGACAGAGATGATAGACACGGAAGTAACAAGCAGTGGGAAGATGCTGACAAAGACATGAAACATCGGGATACTAAGCATCAAGAAAATAGTGATAAAGAAGCCAGACATATTGATGGTTCACATCGAGAAAATAGTAATAGAGACAGTAGATGCAGGGGTGAAAAGTATCGTGAAGATGGTGAACGAGAAAAGAGACGCAGGGATGACAAATATTGGGAAGCTCCTGAAAGGGATGGGCGACGCAGGAATGATAAGTACAGCGAAGATGCTGAGAGAGAGAGTAGTTATAGAGAAGGCAGTGACAGAGATAATAGGTGTAAGGAAGAGCCACATTTGGATGATACTGAAAAATACAGTCGGCATAAGGATAGAAATCTAGTGGATGATTTTGATAGAGAAAAGAAACCTACAGAGAGTAAGTACAGGGATGAGCATGTTTCAAGAGATCTGGTTGGTAACAAGTCTAACACTGAGCACTCAAGGGATGATGGTTATGCTGGTGATCGCCATTCTGGAAAATCAATCATGTATGATGATGGTGTAAGCCTGGATGATCGAATCATCAGGAATAGAGATGATCAAGGTACGAGAAGAAGTGATGCCGTAGAGGATTTTGGTAATATTGGACCCCGTTGTACCCAGGATCAAAGATCTGATGCAGAAAAGAAATCTGCAAGCAGCGCGAGAATGGACGGACTTACTAGAGGGAGGTCTACCTCTAGAAATGCTGATGTAGAGATTTCTTCTAGCCACAGTAGACGACGCAGTTCTCCCCGCTCTAGTTCTCATGCTTCAAGGGAGCACCACAGGTACCCATTTACGTTCTGTTTTTATTACTAATTTCTTAACGCATTGTTATGTTTTTTAGGAATAAGGATAGATATCTTGGATACAGTAAGCATCTTTTGATCATATGTTAGAATTGCAATATGCATTTATTTTCTTCCAAGCATTGGATTATTTTCTGTGATGTACTATTAGTTTGAATAAAATAGGATACACTGCACCAGTAAGCAACACGAATTTTGAGAGGGAGAGGGAGAGGGTGGGAATGAAGGCAATGAATTTATGTTCATGCTACAAAGCATGAAACCAAAAGTGAAGATTTTGTGAAATTTACTGTTTCTCCCGCTTTCATCTAGAATTTTGTTTTTTATTATTATTATTTTATATATATATATATATATCCCCCCTCTAAAAATCCTCAAGCTCTCATAATCTTTGGTGTATGAGACTTGGATATGCTAAAGCAGCTGTCAGCATATATATTGAATACTGTATCTCGTCGAGTGTGATTGTTGCATTAGATATGGTGTTAAAATTTCAAGGACTAGCAAAGAAGAAGTAAATGTCTTGTTTGTAGAAATGCTACTCTTATCACATTATAGAGCTACTTTAGACAGACAACATCCCATTTATTTGCTTGAATGTTTGATTTAGGAAACATCGGAATTAGCGTTTTTATTGACCAGGTTATATTTTACTAATTGTAGCAATTTCTTCATTCCTATGCTAGTGAATTTCATTAATGTTGGGTGTTTAGTTTTCTATTACCCTGATATCTTTCTTTCATTTGATCCCATGATGAATTGTCCTCTTGTGCATTCCATATGTGGGATTTTTCCTTGTCAAAGCAATATGTATCGAGTTGAACTAAATGTGGGATAGTATTGTTTTCTTCGTTTTTGGGGGTAGTTTGTTGGTTCGTACTTTTGTTGTCTCGATCAAAGACATAAACATCATGTAGTCTTCCCATTCTTGTTCTACAGCCTAAACACTAAACTTGAATTTGGTTTGCCACATAATTCTTTTGCTACTTAATTGGTCTTTCTCAATATTTGAGTTGCCTCAAATAGATTTATCCCGATGTTCATATGCAACATCTTTAGATTTCTTCACGAGTTTATTATAACAGATATTTGCATGCCTTTATTTTTTCAGACTTTCTAATGAAATCAAGTATAGCGATTATGCTTATGAAGAGAAAATTCAGTACAAGACAACTTCTACTAGAGATTATACTAGTTCTCCTGGAGGGGCTGAGAAGATTTCTTCGTCTCGATCCCTGGAGAAACTTGGTCAAAAAGGCAGCCATCTCGGAGATTTGTCAGCTGAAAGGCATCTGAAATCAGATATTCTCACCTCACCCCTGCAACTGATATCTAAGTCCCCATCATCTAGCACTGATCGGAGACACTCGAGTAAATCTAATGTAAGGAAGAGTCTTGACATTGAAGACTCAGCACAGGATAATAGTGGTTCTAAGGATGTAAAGGATTACTTTGGTAAGGAGGGCAGGGGAAACCGTGAACTGGCCATGGGCGCCTTTCCTGGAGATGAAATTTCACAGCCTGATGGAGATACCTTATCTGTTTCTTCACCTTTTAGTAGAAATAGCCGTTTATCTCACGGTTCCAAGCCCTTGCTACCCCCTCCCTTTAGGACAGGGATGGATAGCCATTGTAGGAGGATTGGTGATCCCGACTTTGGAAGGGTTCAAGGAAATGCATGGGGAGGTGTTCCAAACTGGCCTTCACCTGTGGCAAATGGTTTCATTCCTTTTCCACATGGCCCACCTCCTGTTGGTTTTCATTCCATGATGCAGCAGTTTCCAGTTCCATCGATATTTGGTGTTAGACCTTCAGTGGATTTAAACCATTCTCAGGGTCCTTACCGTATGCCTGATGCTGACAGCTTTTCTGGCAATGTGCCCTCCATGGGATGGCACAACCCAGTGGATGATTCACGTCCTCTGCCATTACATGGTTGGAATTCAAGTAATGCTGTGTTCAGTAATGAATCTCAAACATATGAGAGGCCAGAATGGAACCCTTCTAGGACCTTTCCAGGTGGTCAGGGCTGGGAGACAAGTGGAGATTTGTGGAAGGGCCCAAACAGAACTGCAAGCATGGATAGGCCATCTTCTTCTGAGAAACAGAATAATTTCGTTCAGGGCGATGAAATTTCAGCTGGCCAGAATGAACAGACGCAACGTGATCAGCAGGCTGATAGTGCTGACATTAGTCAATTGAGTGATAGCTTGGAGAAGAATTCCGGTGCTGAAGCTCCCCATATTAGTCAAGAAGATACTAGTGACTATGCTAAAATGTCAAGAAAGGATGATGGACAGTTTTGCCATGTGTACCTTTCCAAGCTTGATATTTCTGCAGATCTTACTGAACCTGAGTCATTTAAGCAGTGGGCAAGCATAATTAATACAGATCAAAACATGATTTCTGACTCAGAAGATTCTAAAATTCTATACACTGAGGTAAAGATGACCACTCTGTACATTGTCTTAGTGCGTTGTTTTATTTATCAAAATTTAAGTCTAATACATTTTTCTTTTCCCATGGCAGCAAGCGGAAACTCAAGTGGCATCTTCTGGAAAAACCTTGAGTATTTCACTTTTTGCTGTAAAAAATGATTCTGTCTTCCAGGTACACACAGTTGTCCTGAATGGTATATGCGCATTTGTGGTTAAAAGAAATACTTTTTAATCTAAAACACTGCCATGCATTGGATAGCTCATATTTGATTCCATCTACCACTTTTCCCGCGAAGTAATATCGGTGCATATGCAAACTAGTCTTGTATAGCCTTTCTATCGTAGAAGTAG